CCTGCTTTAAAGCATGTGCATGCATGTCTTTGATAACATACAAGAGGGAAGAGCAGGGTGGGGGACTACTGCAGTGTGTGACTGGGGCTCCACAATGGTAAGCAAGGCATGCAGAGGCAGAAGGACTCCTAACGAGGGGGGGAAGGGAAAGCTGTCCTAGAGGTAATGGTGATGATGAGTTTTAAAGGACGGTAAGAAATGTGGGATGTGGGGCTAGGAGATTAAAAAAGCTAGCCATTTTCTAAATCAAATCATATTTAAATCAGCAACATTAGAATATATACTCCAGCTGTAGACATGGCATCACTATTGGAAGTTATGGTGAAATTTACATGGAAATAGAGAATAAGAACTAAAGAAAGGAGTTAATAGTTTTGGGGTTTTTTTTATTGAATCAAAATTGATTATACATATTTTGGGGGTTCAACACTGAGATATGTTGATCAAATCAGTATTACTAGCATATATATTATTACAAATTGTAATTATTCTTTATGCCCCTTGTCCAGTCCTGCCCCATCCCCCTTCCACTACCCCTCCCCCCTCTAATCACCCTAGATTTCTTCTCTCCTTCTGAAAGAATAATGGTTACTCTGTTGATTTACTGCCCAAATGATCTGTCCAATGCTGAGAGGTGTGATCAGGTCCCCCAATACTTTCATAGAACAGGTGTCTCTTCCATCACTATGAAATGGGGTCTGTGGAGACAGACATCCTCCTCCTTTCTTTATCTCTGCTGGTGACTCTTCTTGTGTCAGCTCACTCTAGTGGCTGGTGGGCCCTCTCCGTGGTTGTTGTGGTGTCTAGCCACCTTCACAGCAGCCATGGTTATCATGGTGGCTTTGGTGGGCCACCCACATGGAGGAGATGTTTTTGGCCTGCTCCATGGTGCTGGCAGTCTGCCTGGTTGTGGAGAGTGTCAGATCCCTGGTTCCATGCCCCAGGTCCCTGAGTGGGTCCTGAGGTGCTGGAACAGTGTGCCTGATTGTGGGAGGAGGGTGTCTAGTCCCCAGCTCCTTACCCTGGGTCCCTAGGCATGCCCCAAGGCACTGGCGCAGTGTGCCTGGTCGTGGGGAGGGGGTTTTGGTCTCTTTCTCCATGCCTCGGGTCCATGTCAGGCCCCAACGCACTGGTGTGGTGTGCCTGGTGGTAGAAGAGAGATCCAGTCCTCTTCTCCATGCCCCAGGTCCTAGGGCAGGCCCCGAGGTGCTGGCATGGTGTGCCTGATTGTGGGAGAGGGATCCGGTCCCCTTCTCCATGCTCTTGGTCCCAGGGCAGGCCCCGAGGTGCTAGCACGGTGTGCCTGGTTGTGGGAGGGGGGTGCAGTCCCCTTCTCCATACCCTGGGTCTCAGCATGGGCCCCGAGGTGCTGGCATGGGGTGCCTGGTTGTGGAAGGGGGATCAGGTCCCCTTCTCCATTCCTCAGGTCCCAGCACAGGCCCCAAGGCACTGGCGCAGTGTGCCTGGTTGTGGGAGGGGGTTCCGGTCCTCTTCTCCATGCCTCAGGTCCCAGTGCAGGCCCAAGGCACTGGTGTGGTGAGCCTGGTTGTGGGAGGGGGGTCCGGTCCCCTTCTCAATGCCCCAGGTCCCCTGGCAGGCCCCGATGTGCTGGTGTGGTGAGCCTGGTTGTGGGAGGGGGTCTGGTCCCTTTTGCCATGACCCAGGTTCCTGGGCAGACCCTGAGGTGCTGGCATGGTGTGCCTGGTTGTGGGAGGGGGGATCCAGTCCCCTTATCCATGCCTCGGGTCACTGGGCGGTCCCCGAGGTGCTGGCACAAGGTGCCTGTTTGTGGGAGGGGGGTCCAGTCCCCTTCTCCATGCCCCAGGTCCCAGGGCAGGCCCCAACGCGCTGGCACAGGGTGCATGGTTGTGGGAGGGGGATCCGGTCCCCTTCTCCATGCCCCAGGTCCCAGGGCAAGCCTGAGGCACTGGTGAGGTGTGCTTGGTTGTGGGAGGGAGGTTTAGTCCCCTTCCCCATTCCTCAGGCCCTTGGGTGGGCCCTGATGTGCTACCCTGGCATGCCTCATTGTGGGAGGGTGGGTCCAGTCCCAACTCCTTGTCCTGGATCCCTGGGCAGGCCCCGAGGCATTGGCGTGGTGAGCCTGGTTGTGGGAGGGGGTTCTGGTCCCCTGCTCCATTCCTTAGGTCCCTGGGTGGGCCCAAAGATGCTGGCATGGTGTACCTGGTTGTGGGAAGGGGGTCCAGTCCCTGGCTGCTAGCCCTGGGTCCCCAGGTGAGCCCGTAGGCATTGGTGATATGCCTGTATGTGGGAGTGGGGTCCAGTCCTTGGCTCCAACCCTCAGGTTCCTGGGTAGGGCCCCAAGGTGCTGGTAGTGTGAGTGGTTGTGGGCAGGGGTCCTGCCCCTGGCTCCATGCCTCATGTCCTCTGGTGGGACCCAAGGCATTCATGGTGTGCCTGGGCTGGAACTAAGTTTTTGTTCTTTGCTTACTTCTGACACGGGGAACTTGCTGTGGGAACCAGTACTTGAGCTGTGTGGGAAAAAGTGCTTTGCTGCTTTTTCCCTGGGGAAGGCTTTTTGTGCAGTTCAGTGTTCAATAGTTGACTTATAGGCACTTCCAGCTCTCCAGATACTTGGTGCACCTGGGTTGTGTAGAAACTCTGATCTGGGCCTGAGTTTTTTCATTGAACTGCACCCCATGCAATTCTGCATTCCTGACCAGTCTCCTCTGAGTGGTCCTGTGCTGACTGGGGGTGGATCCGCTGTCCTTGCTGTGTCCCAGTGTTCCCTTGGTGGGCCCGTCTCACCCACCGCCCATGCTCCAAACACTTCCCATGGGATGGGCCATGCGCCAGTCCCCTGCGATGACTCACCCGCCTCTGAATGTCTCCCCTTTTTCAGCTGTTCTGGCTCCTCACTCCTGTGTGGGTCCATGGGAACCCTGTTAGTGGTCTTGCTGTCCTGGGGGCCACCAAGGCCCTCTTCTCCCCTGCCACCTCCAAGTAACTCCATCTGAAGGGCACAGCTGCGGCTTCGGCCGGCTCCTGCTCCATGCGCTCAGCAGCTCCAGCATTAAAGCAGCCACAGCCCGAAACGCTGAGAGCAGTTTTTTCTTTCTCTCATGTGGTTTCTCCCCCTTCACGAACTCCATAGGTCTCTCCTCCTCTTCCCCTGAGCTCCAGCGGCCCCAGCTTGGCTGATGTTACATTTTTATAGTTGTAAATTTGTTGATTTGTGGGAGAGAGTGGTGCTGGGGACCGTCTATTCCACCATCTTGACCGGAAGTCTCAAGAGTTAATAGGTAGGGGCCGGCCCGGTGGCGCACTGCTACAGTGCGCCGCTTGGGAACGTGGCAGCGCTCCCGCCGAGGGTTCGGATCCCA